GTGCAGGCAATTGTTAGACTTAACACGAGAAGAGTCTCACCCAAAATACTAGTCCGTTAGATGGGAGAGTCTCAATGCTTAAATACCACATCAAGTAGTTTATTCTACTCAATGTAGAACTCCTAATACGGTTACCCCCTTTAGGGAATAAATCAAAATTGGGATGCAGCTTTTGGAGTATGCAACAAAAAAAACGCAACTCTAAATAGACATCTGCCGCCCTAAGAAGTAACATAGAAATCAATCCTCACCGGAACAACAGAGTAAAAACCATTTGGTATGGGTTCTGAAAGCATCCCAGTGCGCCAGAGAGTTTGTGATGCTTTCTGAGAAGACAAAACATCTTTGACAACATGTCCAGGAGATTCTTTATTACTCAGTGCCTCATCATGAGAATCCAAAGAAACAGATCCAAAATTTTCAACAAAATCTGAAGGCCACCACGACACATTAGATGGCCCTTGCTCTGTCGGCCCTGCATCTTCTCGTGTCTCCTCCATGTTCTTATATATTTAGAATGAAAAACCATGTCGCCACAATCATTAACCCATAAGAGAGATAGGCTAAAGGTAGTTCTGATTATACAAAATCATTGATATAAATATTTTAGTGACCCAATTGCTTCACGCGGGAGATCATGTAACCTGCAGGAACCAAATAACAAGGATATGGCATATTAAAAAAATAAATATCTGATAATAGAAAGGAACGAATTTTCAAAATCATTACACATGAAACTGAAGCATTACAACCATGAGCCAAAAAACAAATCTTTGCAAAAAAAAAAAAGATAGAAAAATTGTTAGCATTGACCAAACTCCACCACTCATAAATCCCGTGACAGTAATTACATGATTCCCAAATGAACCGTAGAAGTTAAACTTTCAGAACTGATATTATCACTGGTGAGCTTAGGACGCCAGGAAGTAATGATTATCTAAAGTCCAAATAATTCAAAATACAAGAGTAAGCCTATTTGTGCAAGTTACAACTATTCCAACAAATCATCAGTCATGTGAGACCCATAAACATCATATATTGGACCTGTAATAATGTAACCTATATCGACTCTCCAAAGGAAACAAAAAATGCATCATGCATGACTAGAAGTTGACATACTAAGATCTCCTGACCATTTCCGATTCAGCACTTTCCCGTTATTAAAAAATTAATACAAAGTATTTAACACTACACATTTCCCTAAATTATTGAAGCAGATAATGACAAAAACACGTGAGAAATATCAAATATCTAGATTAAAGTGCAAACATATCTTATATCTTAAATATTGGATATGTAGACAAAGTATACTGCGCTACTGCAGAATATTCATATAACCAAACCATTCTTGTGAAAGACAAATACCATCCATTCACAACTGTATAATGTGCTGACGACAGAAATGCCCACTTCCATATATTCATTACTTACAAATGTAACTCCAAATGCTATTGCATCAACACTGAAATTGTAATATCAACTAGTTTTAAATATTCTTACTGTTTACTAATTCATAATATCCTCAGCTAGCGTGATGAAGCTTTTTGATGTTGTGTTGTTGTTCAATAGCTCATAATAAAATTGGTCTTTATACGAAATGATAAAGGTTAATCATCAAGATCAGCCCCACTGAAGCAAGAAAGAATCTTTCACTTCGTCGATAAAGATCAGGACATATACATAAGACATGTCATTAATACCACTGCCACTTTCACAATCGGTTACCGTAACCATTCATTGCACATCCAAAGGAAAACTCCTAGCACAAAACCAAATAAAGTCGCAAAAGTATTTCTAATTACCCTATAATTTGCATACTAAAGAATCTCTCCGATTCTTGCTTCTTTCAAGACTTTTTATTTCAAACGTACTATTAGTTTCCAGCTAAACTGATCATCTCAACTCGATGACAAGTCTATTCTCCTTCCGTAATAAACTTTGTTTTCACTTTTCCATTTATTCTTGTCCCTTTCTATGTTTTCTACATTTGTTTTAAACAAACAAAGGGAGAGGTCAGGAATATTTTGTATTGTTTTAAATCATTTTCCTGTATTAGTTTATTTATGTATTTCCATATTTTGACAAGTAGTACAGAGAAAAAAAAAATAACAATAAGTCAATAACAATACAGTATGCCGCAAAGGCAGAAAACGAAAAGACATCCACAAACTGCCTAATATAGAGTATTACTCTCATAAATCCCGAAGAAAAACCACAACAGCACTAATAGTCTGCACGTAAAAAACACTATAACCTCGCTAAAGGAATGCGTGCACAGTTCAATTCAAATTTCAACCCTAACAGGGCAAAATAGTTCAGCGAAATCATCGATTCCAATTCAAATTTTCAAAAACAAATAGTTCCGCAATACCAACGCACATTAGATCACACAGAGAACCTACTTACATCATGCACAGACTCAACTCCATTCAAAGTAAATCAAAAAAATGAAATAAGTAAACGCCTTAAACAAATCCATACGAAACCACCAATGCCAGAGCCAGAACAATGCCTAATGCCTGAAGTGAGAATGCAAGGCCATCGGAAACAAGAATCAAACACAAACGGATTGAATTCGGTTGCAAGAACGCGAATAAAAGCAGGAAGAAAATTATGAGCGACATAAAAGGAAAGGTGAATTCACCGGCAGCAGATCCAAGCATTCAGTCTGAATCTGGATTGGCATCCAATAGCATTTGAATCTGATTCAGCCGTTAATAGCGCGGAATCGTCTTAACGCATACAAACCAAAGCCGAGAGAGAGATAGAGAAGAAAGTGAGAGAGACTAAGAAATGAGAGACAGAGAGAGAGATTTGAGTTTTGGATTGATGGAAGAAGAAAGCGATGATTTGCTTTTTGTTTCAGAGCTGCCAAGGAGAGAGTGAGACAGGAAAGAGAGAGAGGAGAAGGGAAGGGAGAGGGAGGGGGTAAGTCACGTGCAGTGCGAGAGGGATCTGGGGACCTCTCCCCGACAGCCAGCTAGCAAAAGGGTTGGCTCACCAACATCCACAACTTCTTACGCGTCAAAGCTATTATGCTATTCCCCTCTAGCCCTCTATTCTACCTATAGCTTTTCCCTCCTCAATCAAATATTTTCTCATTCAGTATTCATTATTCTTGGTTTATTGCTATTCAACCACAATCATCACTTTCATTCACCTTCTTCATTTTTATTATCTATTTTTATATTTACATTAATAAATATACATACTAAATTATTAATTAATTCCATTATTGATAAGTTCACTCAATTTTCTTCAAATGAAAAAAATCGTGATTGGATTGAGGGTTGTATTAAAAATAGATTAATCAATCTCTTTAACAAAAGTTACGCATAAGAAGAATTGATAAATATTAATGTTAACTACAAAACAAATTACCATTATAAAAATTACATTAATGTTAATCATACACTTTTCTATTCAACATTGTTATTAATACTATTATAAAAAAACTTATGAAATCAAAGACCAAGTAATAAATGAGAATGACACTTGTTGAAATTTTATATTTTTTAGTAATTTATCCAAAAAAATAATAGTGAGTAATAATATAGAGTTTATGTTCAAGAGATTTATTTTACATCAACCGTCCATTTGCATAATTTTTATTCTGATTCAATTAATAATTTTAAATTTGAGTTTTAAATATATAATCTCTTTAAATATTTGTCAGTTCTGATATTCCAAACCAATTAAAGTATAAGTCACAAGAAACATGTGATACCGTGGTATAAAAGACAATTGCAACTCCATGATATTCTCCTTTATAATTATTTATAAAATTTAATTTCTGTAGAATTTTTAAATAACTACTAATGAAAAGATCCAAAATGATAAATGTTGATATTGAACAATTAGTTACTTTTTAACTTTGATAATTAATTATCTTAAATGGTTCCTAGTATAAAAGCAGTTAGAATACTTGACTTGAACCTATTGAAAGAGATGTTTATTTTTATATTAAAAAATAAAAACATTCTTACTATAAAAAATAAATAATTTCTCAATGATATGGTTTTGTTTCTTTTGTCTAAATGAATAAATAACTAAACAAACCACCAAAGACTAATAGTCTTTTGGTACTACTATAGTAGGTGAAATCTTGGTGGACCCTAAGGTCAATGGACTCCAACCAATTCAAACCTTGATCAAGTTGCACACACGTGGGCACTTAACATATGAACAAGTTATTGGTCATCATATCTGACTTTTTTTTATTAATCGATGTCTTGATATATTAGTTAAATACATTTTATTCAGATTTATGATGGAACCATATCAATAATACTTTTAATGCATATTTGCCAACTAGTTATTAATAATATATAAAAAATATTATGTTTGAGGTTTTTTTTTCTCTTGTCACAATTTGGTTCTTAAAGTGTTTTCTTAGTTAGTTAACTGTGTTTTCTTAATTATAGTGAGTTCTTACATTTCTTATCTCTTAGTTTTATTTTGTGTGTTCTTATTTTGTATTTAAAAATTTGACACAATCTTGAATAAACTGTGATCTAAAATATGTAATTTAAAATTTGTAAACCATTATAAATAAAATGTGTGTCTTTAAAAAATTTAATAAAATAGCATATTGTTTTTTTTTTCATTTTTTATTAAAGATATTAATTTAACTTATGATCACCCATTAATTCGAATTTATAGTTAAAGTTATCATTGGATTTGATTTCATTATAAAATTTTAAGGCTTAATACCTCTTTTAGTTTCTTGAAAGAGAGAAAATGTTCAAAGTAGTTCTACCTTTTTAAAAATGTTGGAAACGGTCCCAAGTTGTGAAAAACGGGTCAAGTTAATCTTTTTTACTTACGACGTCCAAAATCTAACGGTGCAGGTGTCCCCCTAGACCAAACATAATGAGTTGTTCAGTTGTTGTCATTGTGTGGCACTATAAGGTTAAATGAAGTGTAAAATTTAAATTTTAAGAAAAATGTTTTGATAGAGGGTTAAAAGAAAAGGGTTTGCTTACTCTGCGTTGAAGAAGATGCAGATGTTGATGGCTTGATGAAGATCGGCGATGAAAGGTTTGCTTGCAGGTTCAAAGAGTTTGATGAGCTGATGGCGAATCTTGGTTGGGTGATTTTCGCGAGAGGGTTGGGCGTTTTTTTTATTCGCAATGAACTCACAATAAGGGTTCCTAATTTGGGGTTTCTTGTCCTGCGATTAGTGTTCATCTAGAATTTGGTTTTCGCAGGTTCTCGATGGCTATGGGATAAGACTCGATCTGGGTTTCTTTAGGTCTTTGCAGTTTCTTTCAAGTTTCAAAGGAGGAGATTGATGGAGGAGCTCGTGTTTTGGTTACCATGGATAATATTGCGATTGGGTTTTGTGGTGAAGGAGATGCGCGATTTGCTCGTAGATTTGGGATTACAGGTTTCACTACGGTTGAATCACAAGGAAGGAGATGGAAATTGGCCATGGTGGCTGGCCGTGATTGCTCGCGGTTGTTGATAGAGTTCACGTGATTGTTTCTAAGTTTTTTCAAAAGTATGGCAGAGAAGACGATGGTGGTTTTTTGGTTTCATTGTGGTGGCACATGGAGGAGGAAAATGTGATATGGCTATTAGGAAGAAGTTTGTAGCCTTAGCGGTGGTCTAAGGTGATGACGACGACGGTTTGTGGCTCTAACGTTTTAGGAGGTGGAAGATGAAGTTGACGTGGCAAGCAATTTTTTTTTCAAAATTCAAAATTGACACGTCATATTACCTCAGTGTGCCACGTATGAGAAAAAGTGGACAATTCATTAAGTTTTGGCTAAGGAGGCAGCTGCAGCATTAGATTGTTTACGCCGTAAGCAAAAAGGATTAACTTGACCCGTTTTTTCACAACTTGGGACCGTTTCCAACTTTTTTAGAAAGGTATAACCATTTGAACGTTCTCCCTCTTTCGAGTGACCAAAAGAGGTATTAAGCCAAATTGTAAATAACTCTAAAATATATATTCATCTTAAATCGAAAGTCGAGTCAAGTTAACTCATGTCAAAGGTCAAATCAAGTCATTTTGGAAGGTTAAGATGAGTCAATTCAATGTATTTTGGAACAAAACATGCATACTAAATTTAATTTTCATTTTGGATTCCGATAAAATTGAATATAAATACTAGAACGTGACAGTTATGGCTCTTTAAGTCAATTAGTCTTAGATCTTGCATAGATACAAGACTCTTTACATTTGAAGAGTATCATTGTGGTACCTTACTTCTTTTAAGACATCAACAAAAAATAGTTCTCTCTTTTTTGGACGAAGTGTTGTGATCATATAAGTTTGCTTATCAACTTTTTGTGCTAACTTCACTCATATATTCATTTCAGTCATATTTAAACGAGCATTGACATCATCCTTCATCTTGCTTTTTATATTTAGAAGTGTTTCAATTAAGCTATCACGCACATTCTTTTTAACATGAATAACATCTATACAATGTTGCACATTTAACTTGCACCAATATGGAAGATAGAAAACTATTGACCTCTTCTTCCATATCTTAGTCACAGTTGCCTTTCTTTTATTTTATTTTTTGAAAATCAACATGCAGATCTTTCACCTTCTCATAAATTTGGACACTAGTGAATGGAATTGGAGCTCTGTCGTGCTCTTGGTGTCCATTAAAAGCCTTTTTCAATCCACGATAAGGGTATAATTGATTTAAAAATCTATGATGTCGAAGATAGTTTGTTTTCCTCCTATGTTTTAATTTCTTATATGATGTTTTTTCCTAACAAACCAGACATGCTCTATGGAATTTCACACTATAACTTGACAAGTTCCCATAGGTAGGAAAGTCGTTGATAATACAAAATAACTTTGCATGCATCTGGAAAGATTCATTGGCAAAACCATCAAAGACCTCAACATTGTCATTCCATAACAACTTCAAGTCATTAATCAATGAACTAAGATAAACATCTATGTCATTCCCTAGTTGTCGTGGACTAGAAATCATCATTGATAACATCATATACTTTCTCTTAATACAAAAACTTGAAGGAAATTTATAAATCACTAACAAAACAACCTATGAATTATGATTGATACTTGAATTTCTATAAGGATACATCCATTTGTACCTAGTGTAATCCTCAAATTCCTTTATTCATTTGCCAATGTGGGAAATTTGTTATCGATGTTCTTCCATTGCACAAAATTTGTAGGATGACGAAGTATTCCATCACATTTTCGCTCATTAGCATGTTATCTAAGATTTTTAGTGTCAGTTGGTTTGTAAACATAAGTTTAAACCTTAGAATTATTGATAGATACCAAATTGCCTTCAAAGGAGGGTTGGGTTTTGCAACCTCGTTAATATTCTCCTTATCATCATCTTTGACCTTATAACATGACAAATTACACTTGGGACAACTTCTTAAGTCTGCAAACTATTTTCTATATAAAATACAATCAATAGGACATGCATAAATCTTTTGATATTCATACTCATCGGATAAAGTATCTTCTTTGCCTCATACATTCGATTAGGTAGTGTATTACTTTCAGGAAGCATTTCCTTCAACAAATGAAGAAATTCTGTAAAGCTTTTATCACTCCACCCCTTCGATGTCTTCAAATTTATCAACCTTACTGATAATGGTGTGAAGTTAGTTGAGTTAGGATATAACGGGGTCTCTACATTGGTAGACATATTTTCATACACCACTTCAACAAAGGATTGTACTCCAAAATCACGGACCATATCCTATAATCATTCGTCCATTGTCTAATCAACAAGTTCATGTGTTTCAAACACACTAGGCAGGTCTAACAATTCACCATGTCACATTCCAATTCTTCAGAAATCCATCGCACAAAAGATAATCTCTAATTTCGTCAATATTCAATCTTCTCTCATTCAAACAATTCACTTAAGGACACTTTATCTTTACTCTATTTTCTACACTACCAACATTGCGTTGAGTAAACCATATAAACTCGTCAACCCCTCTCTTGTAATCATCATTTATACGTGGTAAATTAATCCAACTTTAATCCATATCTATGTTCAATAGATATGTGATTGAAATTAGTTTTTTGTCCATGCCAACAAATGCTCAATGAAATAA